GCTAACATCTGTGCCCATCTTCCTCCATTTTGCACATGGGTCGCTGCCACAGCATAGCTTGATACGCAGCGCATCGTTCCGCACCCAGGATCCGAACCCGTGAACCCCAGGCCGCCGAAGCAGAGTGCGTGAACTTAACCACTATGCCACCGGGCCAGCCCCTAAGGTCACATTTTGAGGTCCTGGGAGTTAGGACTTCAACAGATCTCTTTTGGACACAATTCAACCCATAACAGACCTCAATTAGCATTTGTTGAACAAGTAAATGGATTCAAGACCTGGCTGTGTCTCAATAAATAAGAATTTCTTACATTTAGATAGTGCGAGAGCTTATCACGAGTCAGCCATTGTCCATACTTAGCTCGTTTAATCCTCCCAACAAACCCAAAAGGTAACTGTTGCCTTTATTGATCATCCCACATTATAGAAGAGAAAGTCGAGGTTCAGCGAGATTAAGCAATTTGCCCCCGGTTGCACAGCCAGTGAGCAGCAGAGCTGGGCTTTGAGGATTGAGCCCCTGCTAAGCTCCCTGGAGGACCCTTTATCTGCCGTCTCATGAAATTCAGTCCTCACAACCATCTTTGAGGTGGATATTATTTGTATTTGCTGTTATAGATAAGGAATCCAAGGCTCAGAGAGGTTAAGTAACTTGTCTGAGGCCACACAGCCAGGAAGCAGTGGAGACGGGATTTGAACTCAAAACTCAGGATTCTTAGACTCCAAAGTCTTCATCCTATGCTACTTTCCTCTTTTTCTTTTGCTGCAGAAGATTCGCCCTGAGCTAACATCTGTTGCCAATCTTCCTCTTTTTGCTTGAGGAAGATTCACCCTGAGCTAACGTCTGTGCCAATCTTCCTTTATTTTGTATGTGTGTTGCCACCACAGCATGGCCGCCAACGAGTGGTGTAGGTCCATGCCTAGGAACTGAACCCGGGCCACCGAAGCGGAGTGCACTGAACTTAACCACTAGGCCATGGGGCTGGCCCCTGCTTCCCTCTTTTTACCTCGGTTTTCTCACATGCAAATTGAAGTTTCCTTCTGCATCATACCTGTGAGGATCTACTGATTGTGGTCCGTGGATATTAGAGCATTTGTAACTACACCCTTCGTAAAACGAGCCACCATGCGAAGCCCTCAGCAGAGTTTCTAACCTGTAGAGAGCACTCAGCAACTGTAACTTCCATTATCCGTTACTGTGGTGTCTCTGTGGACTACGATACTTTCAAAGCCTTTCCTATTTATTCCTTCATCGTTCCCGCACTCACAAGTGAGAGGCCAGAGATTGTCAGTAACCTGGGCGTTTCTCTGTACTCATTCATTCATTCATCTCCATGTCTTGAGCACCTACTGTGTGTCGGCCGTGGACTCAGTGGGGTGTGACACAGACAGCGTCCCTGAGCTGGCTGGCTTACAGCCGGTAGGTTGTTAAGATCTCAAAAGGCTTTGCTTGTGGTGTGCGCTGGGCCACCTGCTCATCTAGGCCATGAGCTCAGCGAGAGCCGGGCCAAGGCTCAGTCATGTCTGCATCCCAGGACCTGCCCAGGGCCCAGCACATAGTAGGAGCTCGGAAAATACTCGTGGACTGTCTGAATTAATTAACGAATAAGATGAAGAGACGAGGGAAGGCGTCTTAGTTTGGGCTTTACCAGAACAGAACCTAAGATAAGCACTCAAGTGCAGGTAGTTTATTTGGGAAGTGACCCTAGGAAGTGTGAGGCAGGGAGGGGAGGGCAGCCAACACAGGTCACCACTGGGTCTTCCTGAAACTAGGTGGGGTCGTGGGATTCGCTCTGGCCAATGGGTTCTGAGCAGATGTGGCAGGTCTAATTTCCAGGTCTAATCGTTTTATTGAAGGTGCTAGACTTTCCAGTGCTTTCTCGTCCATTGCCCTGCGACGCCAGCATTGCAAGATGGCGGAGCCTCCATCAGCCGAGGTTTGTGAGTGACCGTGTGGAGAAGAGCCCCCTGCTGACCAGCACTGGACATGCAGCATGAGTGAGAGATAAACCTGTGTTATTATAAACCACCAAGACGTGGGGGCTGTTTGTTACCCGGCATAGCCTGACTGATACACAGAGAGACGGCTTGGACTCTCCTCTCCACCTCACCTTCTTACAAAGGGGATAGGCCTAAGTGTCCCCAAACACAGTTTGATCCCTAGACACAAAGGAAGCAGAGCTAGAAGGAGCCTCAGAGAGGATCAAGTTGAGAAATTCTCAACTCTGTCAGCACCAACTCTCCCTTCTCAGGACAATTATTTTGTGACAGCCTTTTTACTTTCTTGAAATAAAATTGATACTATAACCAGCCACATACATGCTTTCAGAATAAATTAATAACAAAATGTCTTAACAATAATTTAAAAAAATAATAAAGTGAAATGTGTAATAATATATATTACAATATATAAAGGTTTGGACACAGCTCTACCAGATGATGTAAAAAAGGTATTTGTGGGGGCCGGCCCCGTGGCATATCAGTTAATTGCACGCGCTCCGCTGCTGGCCTGGGTTCAGATCCCGGGCACACACCGACATACTGCTTGTCAGGACGTGCTGTGGCAGCGTCCCACATAAAGTGGAGGAAGATGGGCATGGATGTTAGCTCAGGTCCCGTCTTCCTCAGCAAAAAGAGGAGGATTGGCATGGATGTGAGCTCAGGGCTGATCTTCCTCACAAAAAAAAAAAAAAAAGGTATTTGTGCTAATTATAATGGACGAGTTTGGATAGGAAGTTAATACTGAACTGAACGTGTGTTTGACGTTTTCCTAGGCTGTGAAGAATCATCTAGAACATAATGCAGCCACACGTGCAGATTGGCCCAGAGGTGGTTTACTGGTGATATGAACACCACAGGCAACATGGCCGTGGGCGTCATGATTTTCCAAAATGGGGGGAATGCTGGGTAGAGTTCCCGCCTGTGGGAGGGGAGCTGGGGTATTTATACACCAATTCCTGATGGTCGTCAGATGAGGGCTGCTCCCGGCAGGTGTTCATTCCCAGAAGTCCAGCTGCCCCAGGCACAGAGGCCTGCAGATGCTAGACACACCCACACCGTAAGTTCTAAGGGACGTGGAGAAGCACACAGCATCTGCTGCCATCCAGGGGCAGGTGAAAGACTTCCGGGTGAAGGCTGGGGAGAGGGGCCAGCTGGCAGCAGGAGGTGGCAAGGGGCCCCCAGGAGAACCAGGAGTGGGGGATGCATTCGCTGAGGCTCGTAATGGTGGAGCCCTAGGAGGATGCCCACAGAGCCTGCCGCCCAGCTCCCGAGTCCTGTCTCCATGAGCCCTGCTCTCCCCATGAAGCCTTGTTGCAGCTTGATCCTCCGAGCCTGGCCACAGAGCCTAGTTTTCTTATTTCCTGTTTCCATTGGTGTCCTTAGGATGAAGCCCCATTATTGAGTAACCGGAAAGTCCCTCTGTCCACACAACCACAGAGCCGTGACCAACCACAGGTCATCATTTTTGATGAGGAGGAAGATGAATGCTTTTATAGCACACACTTTGCTTTTACCCATTATTCCCAGCCCTTTCTGCAAATTAAACTCATATTAACACTCACAACAACCTATGAGACAAGTAGTGTTATTACGTCTGTGTTACAGATGAGGGAACGGAGGCACAGAGAGGTTAAGTGATTTGCCCAAAGGCACACAGCTAGTGGTGGAGCCTGGAAAGGAACCCAGGTGGGGTGGATCAAGGGCCCAACTTATAGGTTTGAGGTTTTGGACAGAGTCACTCGGACATCGGTGACCTGCTGGGTCTGCCCTGGATCAGGGGGTCCAGCTGAACCCCACCTCTGGAGTCCACCCAGCTCCAGACCCTGGGATGGAGTCTGGCCCGAGGGAGGGGACACTCTGACCCAGCACTGTGGCGGCCTCCTTGCAAGCCTTCCCCGACCCGGTACCCAGGAGCCAGTCATGGGCCTTCTTAGCGTCACTGAGAGCAAGCCCGGACATCTCCTGGCCCGAGGCCTGGGACATGGAAGACGCTCCATAAGCAGCAGCCACAGCAGCCGAGGAGGCTTCGGTGCAGCCACCACAGCATCAACAGCCGTGGGCGGGGAGAAATGGGCTTTGGGGACTGACGTGAGCTGGAATCCTGGTCCCATCCCTTAAAAGCTGTGGCACGCGGGGGAATTTGCTTCAGTGCTCTGGGCCTCAGTTTCTCCCTCTGCAAATGAGGATCATTATCGTCTGTCCGCAGATTGGAGACGATACTGTAAAGCACCCAGTGGGATGCTTGGCGCACAGTAGGGCCGGGATGGTGGTGGCTATTATTATTGTCATTATCATTGTTGCTGCTGCTGCTGTGATGTTTTCCTGCCCCTGAGGGATGCATCAAAGTGTGTGGGGCTCAGGAATGACATTCTAGCGTCAACACGCAGGGTTCCAACCTCAGCTCTATCACTTCTAGCTGTGTGGCCCTGGGAAGGTGATGCGGCCCCTCTGTGCCTCGGTGTCCTCATCTGTTAAACAGGAAGAATAACGGTGCTTACCTTCCAAGGTCATTCTTAGGATTCAATAGACAATGTACAACAGGCTGGCCCTGGGTCTGGCCTTCAGTAAGCACTGATGTATAGGACCTAACAAGGCCTCTCTCTGAGAGAGGCAGGAAGGAGTGGGTGCTGGGCTGAGGAAGGGGTGAGGAGTGGGGGTGCTGCCATCCCCACCTAGGGGAGTCAACCCCTGTCTTTTGTCTGCCCATCGCTGGGTGCCCCTCACCCCCACCCCGAGCCTGAGGCCCCGCCCCAGCTCTCCCCCACACACTAAGTAAAAATAATTCAAAGTGATTTCCTGGCTGTGCATGTTTTTTTTAATATGCAGGCTGAAGCAACTGAAAATTGCCGTATTCTTTTCAACGCCTTCCTGAGGCCCCACAGGCCTCCCACACATCAGCTGCATCCGCCAGGGAGGCTGCAGGTGGCGGGGACGGGCTCTGGGCACCAGGGGGACAAAGTCAGGGAAAGAGGCAGGATTGGCTGAGGGGGTGGGAGGGTGGGGGCTGGTCCCCAGGGCTATGGGAAGCCAGCTGTCACCTGTCAGACGGGACACTCCCTCCTCTTCCCACTGGAGGCAGAGGAGACTCACATTTACGCCTGGCACTGCTACGGCATCCTCCCTTGGCCGGACGAAGGCATGGAGGCTCAGAGAAATGACGGTCAGTGCTGAGGGTGGGATGGGGCTCAGTCCCCCAGCCGAGGTTGCAGAAGACCTCTGGGCAGGGGACAGAGCTACCAATGCACGGAAGAGACGGGGTCAGGGCCTTCACACGAGGACGGCTCACCGGATCTCTGCAGTAGCCTCCTGACTGGCCTCCCTGAGGCCCCTCGGCCCCACAGTCTGTTCTTTGAGCCACAACCAGAGCGATCCTATTAAACCCTAAGGTAGATCACGTCACAACTCGTTCCAATTCTCCATGGCTCTCACCTCCCTGAGAAGAGTCAGAGTTTCCCAGAATCTCTGGAGCTCTAAATGCCCTGACCCCACTCCCTCTCTGACCCCTCCCCATTCTCTCGCTGGCATTTTCTCAAGAAATTAATGAAAATAGAGACTGACAGATAGAGACGGAGGGGGAAATGATGAATAGATGGATGGGTGGATTACAGGAAGAATGGATGGAAGGATGGACGAATTGATGGGTGGAAGGATGAATGGGTGGGTGGATGGGTGGGTGGGTGGATGGATGGATGGATGGATGGATGGATGGATGGAAGGAAGAATGGATGGATGAGTGGGTGGATAGATGGATGGGTGGATGGATGGGTGGACGGACGGATGGATGGATAGATGGATGGGAGAGAGATAGGACAGATGGGTCAATGGAAGAATGGTGGGAAGAATATATAGACGGTGGGAGGAAGGAAGGATGCATGAATCAATGGAAAGAAAAAAACATGGAAAGATGGAAGGAAAAATGGATGGATGAATAGATGGGTGAATTGGTGGATGGGTGGGTGGGTGGATGGGTGGATGGATGGATGGATGGAAGGAAGAAAGGAAGGAAGGAAGGAAGGAAGGAAGGAAGGAAGGAAGGAAGGAAAAATGGGTGAGTGGGTGGAAGGATGGATGCATGGATGGATGCATGGATGGATGGATTTTAGGGGAGGTAGATGGATGCATGGATACATGGATGGATGCATGCATTTTAGAAGGGAGGGAGGAAGGGATGGATAGATGCATGGACGGATGGATGGATGGATGGATGGATGGATGGATGGATGGATGG